ACTGCTCTACACAGCATGTAGTTCTCCTCAACAGCTTAAGGGACTTCCTGCGGCTGCTTTCTGGCAATTGACAGCTTTACACAACAGAGAATCCATTTGCAGTCGTGTTTCAGGCCACCTGATGAATGTAGGTTCAATATTCTCTTTTAGCTCCGTTTTTGTTTCAGCTTTGTCCATCTGCTGTTTGGTGCTGGGAAGGTAGTGTACTGAAGGTTTATCAGAGGTTTTTGCTGAAAACAGCTGCTGTAACGATGCAACTGAGAGCCATGGGTCTCAGCCAGAACAGTAAAGATGCAAGTCATACAACCAAAACAATGAGCTGAAAGATGCTAAAATGCTTTGTAAAGCTGAGGGAAACACCACAGTAATGTGAAGGAAATTACATTAAAAATAACAAAATAGTGAGTGCATTATGTAATCTACAATAGCATTTGGACATTATGAACAAAAACTGGTTGTATTTACATTATGGGGGGTATAAGAAGCTGTGAAGTGTTTCAGCAGATGAATAAACACAGACCTGGAGCTTTGTTTTGTTAGTGACTTGTCGCAGGGGGCACTGCATAATTCATGGGAGACAATTGCGTCAACAGTTGCGCTGCTTTTGCATAACACTGCATTATACTTGGCACTCTGCACCGAGGGCACAGAGGGAATATCTTCTTAAGCGATGTCCAAAATTATGTAAACTGTAGTTTTGAGCATCAACAGTAACACCAGTGATGGACTGGGTTATAAATAGACCTCCTTTTGATCCAACTGCCCACGCAGGTTGCTGACACCTGCAAACTTCACTGCAGGGCCGAGGATTCAGTGTTTAAATGTTAAGTTTGTGTTGAAGAATAGTTCAGGATTTTTAGGGAGAGAATGATAGGAATAAGAAGAGAACAGACAGATGTGGAGAAGAAGGAAGGAAAGACCTTTTATGGTGTGCAGACGGAAAAAAATTGTTCCCATCACTTTCTCGTCCTCATTTCTCAGTCCAACCCAGTGAAATCTCACATTTCATTCTCTCCATTTTTCTGATCTCCCCCACCCCAACCCTCCCTCCCTCCCAACAACATCAGACTCTCATTCTCTCTCCCACTCTCTTTTTCACTGGCATCCTTTGAATTCTGTGACTCTTTGCCTTCTGTACCCACATACATATATACTCCCTCTTTCTCTCATTCTCTCTCTCTCTCTGTAAGCCACTTGTTACCATGGCAACCCCACAATGGGCCTTATAAAGCTAATAAGTAGAGAGAGCAGGAGGGATGAGCAGAGTAGCAGAAGAAGGAGGGTGAAAAAATAGAGAAAAAATTAAATGGAAAAATAAATGGGTGCCAATCTATTCCTGGTGTTGGAGTTTCAAATAGAGGTACACCTATTTATAATACATTAAAAGTTGTATTTAAAATATGCTGCGAGTGCTTATATAATGTGTTTCTATAAGTTGTAGACGTGGAATTGTGTGTTCATTAAAATTCTTTTAATGTAAATGTACTTCACCTGTTAGGGCAATACTGTACTATACGTTCTATAGCAGAGACTTAAATTTGCTAGAGAAGACAATCTTTCCTCCAATGCCTCAAGTTGCAGTGTCTTTGCATCCACAGCCATATTTTGGCTCAAATCAAGCAATTTTTTGGAGAACTAAATGTGTCAAAGACTAAAATACTTATGTTGTTTTTTACCCAAGGACACCTCAACATGTGGACAGGAGGAGCTGGGGATCAAACGTCCAACCATCTACCTAAGCCATAACAGTTGTGCAATCAAAATGAACCAACATCATTAACACCAAGGTCAATATGAAACCAGACACCTTCCCACACATCGTCAAATTCAGGTTTTGTAATTCTACAAATTATCTGTTTCAAGTGTTTCTAAATAGAAAGCTAATGTGTTCAAAGTTAAAACAAGAGCTTTCCAACACTGTGGTCAATAATTGCTCCCCAGTCTTTGTCCAAAGACGACATTACACGTCAGTGTCAAACCCAAGGCTCATTATGTAGGTTCAAGTAGCAAATAACACACTCTTGTTACATAAATACCACTGCAATACTTCAATAGGAATGGCAGATGAAGACATCTCATTCAGGTTTACGTCTGTGTGTCTGTATGTGTGTGCACCTGTGGATTGATAATGAATGTGTTTTTCCTTTGAGGCACTACACAGATCAAAGTGTAGCTAGGCCTCTGAACTGCTCCTGGATGAAACAGAGACACACACACACGCACACACATGCACACACACATACACACACACACACACACACACAGAAAATGCCTCCTGCCTGGTCGACTTCCCCTGCTTTGCCTCTTCTGTCGGTGTCTGATAGCAGTGGGTGTGAGGGACAGTTGGACTGAAATCCAGGTGAGAGGAGGAAGTATTCACAACCACGTCACCAACTAACTTACACCAAGGCCGCCACTTTGCCATGACAACAAGGAATCTCATCACTATGGTAACACAAAAAGCGACTAGGAAATGACACAAAGGAAATTAGGGTCAAGAGTAAACCAGGCAGTAACCAGTAATCTATAGATAGATAGATAATATATCTTATCAAAACAGGGTATTCATATGTTTAGTTAGTTACTTATATTAGGCTTCATGATATAGGATCTTTTGTCAGTCACATTAAAATGCAAGTGAATAGTAAACACGTTTTGCATTATTTAGTATTTATGTTCCTTTTTTAGTATGTGAACAAAATAAAAGTACTGAAATGTGTGTATGTGGAGATTTAAGATTTAACTGCCCTCATTATGACATTCTTCTGAGAAAACACCTCTTCATTTCATGGAATATTCCTTTTGGAGGAGCAACTTTTAAACTCAGCAGGGGGGACGTCATTAGATGAAACTAACAGTGTTTCATCTGGTCTGACACTAAAAGGGACTCCCCATAGGAATAACAGAGCATCTCTTGCTGATGTCTTGGAGCCTAGTTTTTAGGATATCAGTACAGTTTTTCCCCTGAAAGAGCTTGTTTGCATCCTAATTTCTTGTCAAACAGACATGAGACTAATGTACAAGTTGACGTCACTTCAAAACAACCTTTCAAATGTCACTTTTCAAAGAAAATCTTGATGGCAAGTGCATTTGGTATTTGAAAGTAACAGATCATCTGCTAAATGAACGAAATTGCTAAGGCCATTTCACAAGGAAATTTCAATGCAATCATCTCAATTGATGGATTCTCTTATGCAGGTGATATAAATCCATGCAATAGGTTCAGGTTTGGTGAACTATGACAAGCTAATTCATGCTCTTGAGCAATAGCAAATCACCCTGAACATAGAGCAGTAGAGTCTAAAATGCGTAGCTTACTAGCTTTGCTGCACCATTAACTTTTATTTAACCTCCTCTGCTGGAGTATGAACTTCTCCAAACAAGAGGCACGTATGGTTTGACATGCAACAGCAAAATTCTCCTCATGACATGATCCTCCTCAACCTTGCCTGACATACCAGTAGAAAGCATGATGTGCACTCATACAGTTTTCAAACCCACACGACTATACAACAGGTCAAAACGTTCTGTAGAGTAATTCTTAGTGCTTGTTTCATCATCCCTCAATACCTAGACAGCTGGGATTCACAAATTCACATGCTAGACTAAAATCATCAATTCATCAGTGCTGTTATGTGTCAGAAACATACCCGTCTGACTCCTACATAGGTTAAAATAAACCATAAAAATGTTTGCAAAACTATTTCACTGACTATTTCACACAGTATAGGACTTGACAGATTTGATCTAGTACAGTCGGCTCACACAGATAATAGTGTTATAACTTGCCTGACAGTTCAACCTACTTCCAAATTCATTATTCATCTATCCATCCTTGCAAGCTTTGCCTAAAATCTTTCTCAAGGTTTTTAGAACAATGGTAATATAAGGGAGAAGTTGAAGGTACTCTTACCACTATAAATAAAAAGATTCCCTCTCACAAAAACGTAGAGTTCACATGTAAATGTAATATGACACAATGTTCAGATATGCGTGTAGATGTGTACATTGTACACAATGCATTTTTTTGGAACTAGCATTACATAGTATGTTGTTGTTGATTTTTTCATGTTGTTAATCATATCTCTAAATTCTCCCTTAGACAGACGTTTTCCAGCTGTCAGATATGATGTGCTCTCCACTCCTCCCACTGAAGCTCTAAGGTGTTTGCCTCTTGGCTCTGGTCAACAGTGTGACAGGTGCAGAAAGATCATTTCAATTTCCTGGGACCCAGGGCAAGAGGATTTAAGTTTCATTGGTTCATTTGGTTCCAAGGCTTGAAGAGTTTAAACAACTCCTGCACTGAAGTAAGAAAGATGGAACGGAGGGGGAAGCATCAACACACACACACACACACACACACACACACACACACACACACACACACACACACACACACACACACACACACACACACACACACACACACAAAAGATGGGCTGAGTCAGGCTGCACAAGGCCAAAGACATAGTGAACACACCGACATACTCAACATACTGAGTAAATGTGTGCTTCAAGCATTACTGATACCATAACTGAATAGGCCTGAAATAACCCAACCACTCACAAGGTCACCAGCTGGCTAATATACATGATAGATGGGATATTCTAAGTATTTTAAACAGATTTTCCACATTGGATTAACTAATTTCCATTCATTCCAACTACGCCATGTCCATTAGACATGGAGAAAATGGGCACTTTAAAAGGTACTATACTGTATGTAAGAATGTATATATGCAGCCTTACAAAAGACTACACTTTAAATGCAAATATCTCTATCTTGAACGACAACAATACATAAACACAAAGGATTTATGAGCAGATAAAGTCAAGAGACTTGATAGCAAGAGTTCTCATGTTGTGATATTCCACTTGAGGAGGTATTTGTGTTTAAAGTGAAATCCCCCAGGGGCCAACGCTCACTATGACTTCTGGCTAAGAGACGACCTTTAACACTAATTGATCTCCCACCCTCCTGTCCGTTTCATGAGACTTACCAGTGAGCTGACAGTCGTCGTTGGAGCCTGCAGAGTCTTCCTGGTTGGGGCTGAGGGGAGGGCTGGCAGGGGGGCTCGTGCTGAAGCTGGCGTAGCCCAGGGACGAGCTCACCTCACTGGGCTCACAGCTGTGGTTGACTGGCCTCTGGACGTCCAGGGATGAGGACAGAGAGGTACGCTGCTTGGGCTTGACACAAGAAAGGAAGAAGACAAAGACTGTCAGAGATGAAAACCTTTATATTGTCTTTGGAGTTTTCAAACAAAATGGCTCTTTTTGACTTGTAGTTTGCATAGATCCATGCACTGTTTTCCTCTTTCTTTCATGTGTCTTTGTTCACGTTAGTCCAGTATTTTGTGTTGTTGTATGGTGTTTCACACATGTATGTTATGCAAGTCATGAAAGACAGCAAGCTGTGACTAGTCAAGGTCCAACGTGTTGTCTGCCATGTTCTCTGCCACGTCACAGCAAGAATTTATAACCAGCGATCATCTGATTCCAGCCATCATAAGCCTACAGGGAATGTTTGTAAGTCACTGCAGTATTTTCCTAAATTACCAAAACATGTGTGTCTCTGCACCTCTGTACATGACTCACAATTTTAGACTCATTAGTTCTGACACCTGAATATGTTGTGATGTAATAAAACATACAGATGCCAACATGGTTTATGTAACATGAAAAAATGGTCCAAGGAAGAAAAAAAGAGGGGGGTGGAGGTAAATAGGGAGGCAGAAATGGACAAAAAGAGAGAAAGAGAGAGAGACATAATGATTGCTTATAGCCAAGTGAGAGAGAAAGAAAGTGAAGCAGGGAACAACTCAAACTGTAGACTGGCATCTGGTAAACACATCTTACATAATGAGGCATTCGCAGCTCTCAACAACCTGCTGCTACGCTTCGCAAACAGCTCAGGCAGTCAAAACTGTGCTGGTGTGTGTGTGTGAGTGTGTGAGTGTGTGAGTGTGAGTGTGTGTGTGTGTGTGTGTGTGTGTGTGTGTACAAATTAGAGGATGTAGGCAAAGTCATTCAATACAGTTAACCATAAAGGGGAAGTAACATCCGGAAATACTGAGAGAGACCGACACATGACAGGGACAACCTTCATAAGACCTTTGCTGTCTTCTGTATGACACAAGGTACAAAACCTGAACCTTGAGAGAAGAAGAAAGAGAGGGGAGAAAGGAAGAAAGGATATGGAATGAAATGAGAGCAGACTGAACGCTTTTTTTCCTAGGCAGGGTGCACTCAAATTGGGTTTTGAAGCATCTACACATCGATTGAACTAAAGTGAGATGAAAACAAAAGCAAAACAGGAGCAAATAATTAGGTTGAACAAGGCAAAAGCATGAAAAATGAAAAGAGGACAGAAGACAGAAGAGAGAGAAATGAAAAACTGAAGATGAAAGGAGGCAGTGAGTGAAAATGGCAGCATTGAAGAAAGAAAAAGGAAGAAAGAAACAAAATGATGGGAAGAGGTAAGAACTGGTAAGAATTTTAAGCAGGGCAGAAGGGATTTGGGCAAGAAGGAGTGATGCTATGGAGAAAGAAATTAACGAAGAAAGGAAGGAGGAAGGTACAATAACATCATGAAGACATGGTGATAGTAAAGAAATGGAGATGAGAAGCAGAATTTACAATGAGAGGAGGGATGGGAGAAGAAGGGGAGGAGAAATAAACAAAGGAAAGGAAGAAGAAGAAGGAGGGCAGCATTATAGGAAAAGACGGAAGTGTCGAAAGAAGGAAGCTACAAATGATCAATCCACTAAAATTTAATGTGGAAAAAAAGGAATGCTGTGCATGTCTTATCAAAAAGAGAGAGGTATTATAGGAGTAGTTCAAAATTTTGGACAATAACTAAGTAACTAACTCAAGAAAGCAGATCAGATGAAAATTTCAAACAATTTCTCTAACAGAAAAGAAAGAAATCAACCCAGAAATACTAAATGAATGACTTTCAAGGTCACTTTTTTCCCTATGCATAAGTGGATGAACAGAGGTCACAACAAAACATTTTTACACAGTGTGGTATCAGCCAATAAATGAGAGGGCATTTTCCACATGCATAGCTCTAACATGCATAGCTCTAACATAGACAACAACAGACCAGAGAGCAGCACAGCAACAGTAAAATTTACTCTTTTTTTCAGTAGAGAGTTGGTCAATGAGGAACAACAGGGAACAGGGAAGAAAGACAATGATGTATGAGCCCAACAGGGAATCACCCTGACTGGGCAAGGGGAGCGACATTACGCTACATAGCTTCGTTAGTTTTTTATTTTATTTTACTTTGGTCATGTTAAAGAAACAACACAAAACAAGTCAAATCTTTGAATCAAAATCATTGATGATTTATGGCAAAGAAAGAGAAACAAAGTAAGAGGGAAAATCCAGTCAAATGTATTAAAAATAAAAACAGAACCTACAATGTTTACTTTGCCACAGACTTAATAACCAACAAAAAAGGATAAAAAAAATACATGAGATGAAACAGCAATCAACTGCTGCTGCTGCTGCTGTTATGTGACTGTGTGGCATTTAAAAGTGGGAGGTTGAGGCTATGTGTGTGTGTCCGTGTGTGTGTGTGTGTCTGTTTTGTGAGCCATCTAATGTTTAATGAGTTTAATGCCAACTTCAACTTCTCCTATTCATCGTTTAAGCATCTTTTTATTCTTGTGCTTATCGCTGCCTTGTCTGTGTACTTTGCTTCTGCTTCTGTCTAACAAGTAAAGGCGTCTTCTCTCTGGACCCGTGCTTATTAAGAGCTCACACATGCACATAACACACACACACACACACGCCGTGACACATTAACTAAGCATACACACAAACTGTAGTTCTGGCTGAGGCTTAGCGTTAACAATGCAGACGGGCGGCAGGCTAATGAACATGTCATGCCCGATTGGAAGGGGATTAATGAGCACAGACACACAGCTGCACAGACATTCATACGCACACACATGCTCGCATACACAGGAAGCAAGGTCTTCCATGCCTGACTAAATTTCAGCAAAAAAACATTTTCCCTGCCTGCAACAGCATCCCTGGGGGAAAACATTCTGTTTAACACTTCACTAATGTGTTCAGGTGCTAATAAATGACGTACTCATTAGCTCAAAAATCTAATTCCTCACCTACGACGAGGTGAGATGTTCTTTTGCAGTTTGAGGGGTTTTTTTCTGTGTGAAACTGAGGGATTGTGTGCTAATTTATGAACAATGTGATAATCAGTTATCATAAAATTATCATGATTACCAAATCAGACACTAGAGTTGGGGAACAAATGTGATGATGAATGAAACTTGAACAGAAGCAGAATTTACTGTGCAAACTGTTAACAATACTAAAAAAAAACATGATGCATGGTAATTATTTCAAAATGTTGCCATTTCCATTAAGTCTCTTTAATGGCTAACTAATTCAGGAATTTAATTATTAATAATAATTTAACATGAGCTGGGGACTGAAAGGTAATTATCATAATCATAATTGATATTTTCAGTTGGTAGAGCAACTCTCCCCTTCTGTTAACAGTCGCTTAAAGTTAATGATGCTGAATATGGAGCAATACAGATGTCTTTTTCATATTGTGAGTTTTTGTTTATTTTTTTTCACTCTCATCCTTTTTTCTTGGTCTTTGTTTCAGTTGCCTCACACGTCCACAGAAATATATAAACACACAAACTCAGACGGCAAAAAGCTCACAAGAGCGGAGCAGACAGCACATCAGCATGCAGAGGGGGGAGAAGAACAAGAGAATAGAAAATAAAAGGAGTAAACATCCATCCTTTTCCTCCCACATTCAGAACAAATTCTGCAACTCAAACTATTATTCTACTATTCAGCTCTCCACTCTGCGTTCCCACTTTCTTCTGATAGATTTTGCCTCTCATCTCTTCCCTCTTTTTCTTGTGATGATCAAGCTACTTTATTATTCTCCTCCAGAAACATTTTTATAAAGTTTCAACTCAGAGGAGCCTCTCAGCTGATGACACTTTTTCACACAATTTCAGCTCAAATTAACATATATAGTGGCCCTATAAAGGCTCAAACATGCCTCATGTGCCATGGATGTACAGACATCCATGCTCCATCCACAATCACTGAAGCACAGTTACTCTGTGTGCGCTCACCCCTCCACTTTAATCAAAAAATCTGTTGTTGTTATTCTTATTGTTCAGTGTTGGAAATACAAAGGAGAGTAAGAAAATATAATATGCTTACAATCCAAACTGCTTCTCAGTAAGTCAAGATAAATGCAGTAGGAGGAGCATTTATGAGTAAAATATGAAGTCACCTTTAATGTTTGGGCATGGTGTCATTTGTTAAATAAAACAAGCACTGACTTCTTTTTTCCAAAAAATACTGCAAAGTTTTAGTCTTTTTCACTTCAAGTCTTTACTATTGCACCTGGTTGCTCTTGTCATGAGTCATGTACGTTTGGGTCTCACTTTATTTATCATTAGGTGAGGTGGTATTTTTCTAAATTAACACATTGTTTCCGATAATCTATATTATGTTTCTAAAACTAGATAACAGCACTTGCTTGCTTGCTGTGGTCCAGGCTCAAAATGCATATTCTTCAAGGAGGTGTCAGGCTTTACAGTAGACCACTGACAAGTTAAATGAGCCCATTAAAGGCTTAATCAGTTTAATGTGCCACTGTCCTGATTGTCAGTGATCTTCACTACTGGATTTTCCAAATATGCCAGATCATTTTTTACGAATCATTTTGTGAGAATTCCCTTAAATAAGCGACAAGTCAGTTTCTGCAGAATTAAGATGAGAAATAACCAGAAGTTGCAGAAAAAAAGCCTTATTTAAAATATAACACAGATGTGTTTGATAGATAATCATGAAGTTCAAGAGTGGTGGTTCAAGGTGGCAGGTCAGATCATCTAAAATCATAGTTCAGAAATAATGTGAGCTTCTTTTTAGCCAATGTTTCCACAAACAAATCTTCAAAAATGATTCTTTCTACTACTCTAAAAGTCATCCCTCTTGTTATGTGCTATCACTCCACTTGTGCTCATATACTCCTTCAGTCAGATCTGAACAGGAAGTAATTCACCACCTGTCTGCTACACAGCATAAAGCAGTTTACCTGCCATATTTAAACTGGCAAACAATTTAATATGCAGTGCAGAGGCCAGCAGAGGCTAGCAGTCCACTTGACTCATTACTAATGA